TGCTGAGCGTCCTCACGCTCTCCGTCCTGCTGAGAGTCTGAGAGGAGAGAGAGCTGTCCAGTTTGATGCCATGAAGAAAGAAAGAAACCGAGTGTCAAGCTATTTATTAAAATATTTTCACTGAACTCATTAAGACATGTTTGAAGGTCATTTTGCACTTTGTTTGTTCGTGAGATGTACTTTGTGATCAAACTCCAGATTAAACACTTGTTATGGTTCAAATGCCTTAATTGGTTATATGTAAAGCGTATTTGAGCATTAGGAAAAGCGCTATACAAATCCCATGTATTATTATTATTATAAATAATGTTATTAATTTCCTGCACAGGGCTATAGAAAAAGTGTTGTAATTACAGTTTTGCATTTATGTAATATGTTTCCATCTGATCCAGCCTATCTAGCACCTCAGGTAGTTTTTATAAACACACATTTGCAGGCTTTGAATTGTTTACTGAAACTAAAGTAAACTTCAACACACATTCAGGGAAACCCAAGCCAAACCAGCTGTTTCATTATTGTGTTTTAATAGTAAAATGTACTGTGACTGTAAAATACTTTTGAAAGGGAAATACTAAATGATTAAATTACATTTTAATTGTAATTGTTTGTGGAGTCATGTCATTACAGAATTTTTCTACAGATGTTGAAAATGCATCATGGTACACATAACAAACCATTAATTTAGGACCGCAACGAACAATTCAGGTAGCTACTGAATAAAATCTAACGATTTGTGAAAAATGCCAGTAAAGGATTTAAAGCTGACAGTGATTGCAATTTAGTATGGTCTTATCACCAGTCTAAAACCTAAAAAACACTCAGATATCTCTTGAATAAGACAGAAGTAGAGGGCACATTTTCACAATAAAGCATATAAAACAGGGAATTAATGCTTTAAAAGTGACTTCTTCATAATAACTAGTATTTTTTTCTTCCTGTCAATCAACTAATTGATTCAGCCATAGAATGACATCACCTCAGCATCATTCACAACAACTGAAAAAAAAAAAGGGTTTGTGATTTGCCATTAATCTCAAAAATAACATTTTAAACATAATTCACAATTATGACTTAAATACCCGTTTCCTTATGTAAAACAGACAAAGTTAAAACCTTATTCAAAGACGAAATCAAGGCAGAAATATTTGTAGGAAGGAAAGACTGACTTTCAAAGACAACAGGTGAGTATGTTTTAAACACCAGGCCACACCGGAGTGGGTGGTGCTGTTTGAATATTCGCTCAATCACAGACCCCGCCTTCCCGGGGTGTTTTATGATCCAAAACAAGCATTCTTTTCTAGTACTGCGCCACCGCCATCACAGCTCGGTGGTAAGAGAAAGCTGCTCAGAGCTTCATAAAAGGACGGCCTGTAGTCACACATTTTACTGAAAGCAAGACATTTTACCCTAAAGGTCGTGGTGAGTATTTTGTTCCCAGACATTTTTGTTTATTTTTCCTTCCTTTTTCTTTTCTTTTTGGATTTTTTGCAACGATGCTTTTTCTATTTTACCAGCGTTATGTGATGGCTAGCTAGCGAGGTAGCTAGCTATGCTAACTCGCTCTTTTCCCCCTGAAAGAAAACACACACGCTGATTGTGTTTTTTAAGAAACGCCACTCTTTTGGATGCATCTTAGCTGCTGTTTCTTCCATTTTTCGCAAGATTGTGTAGCTTTGGTTTTCCTGCGTTTATTGTGAAGATTTTTCCTTGATGGGACTGTTTTGTCTAAGCTAAGCTAGCTCATAGCTAAGAGGCTCTTGTTGGTTTTTATAGTCGCAGCTTCTCCCTGATCCATTGCAGATTTCGTCACTCTTTTGCAGGTTTTGTTTTTTGCAAGCAGAGGAACTGGCCTGATCTGTTTTTAAATGCTTTTCGAGTTGTGGTTGGCTAGCCGGCCTTGTGTTTTTCATCGAGGCCTGTTGGTGGCGCTGTTTGATGGATGGATGGTTTTCGATTTTCTCTTGGATCAAGAGTAGATTTTTCCAGTGTTTTTTCTTTTTCTCCCCTTTTGATGCCAGAGAGATTTTTCTGCTTTTGGAAGTGGTCTTCCGGTGGCCTCAGTTTTGTTGCATGTCGTTACAAAAGAAATACACATTTACTTAATTAAACGTTTGTTGATCTGAATGAGTACTATGGCTGTTTGTGTATCAAAATGAAATCACGCCTTCACATTCACCCCCAGGCCACAGAAACACCCACAAGCTCCCATAGACTGTTCATAAGAGACAAGAGAAATGTTCACATTCAGGGGAAATACTACTAAATGAAAACCAAAGGCATGGTCCTATAATATAAAGCTTTAAGTTATGTATTACATCTCTTATTTCCCCTCAATCCCTCTACTCTAATTCTTTACTATTATTATTTTATGTGTAGGCTACTTTTATTGTGATTTTTTTTTTCGATTTTAAAGAGGTCTGTAATTCTTAACTGGTCTAATATTTACAATGATATTACTTCATGCTAAAAGAGTTTTTTTACTATCAATTGTAGGAGTAGATGGTATTTAACTAGGCCTAGATAATTAGTACATTTGACACCTGACTTATATGTTTTAAACATGAAAATGCCTTTGATAACATTCTAAAATATGCCTTCATCATTGTATACACCAGCTCTTAAAGGGCTTCACCTACTGTGTTTATAATATACAAACTCCTCTACATATGGGATATGTTGGGCCTGCCTTTCGACTTTTCAAGTCAAGTTGGTGATGATTGTAATGGTTTTGTTCGGTTTAGCAGGTTTAGCTTTCCCTTACTCTTGGATAAATACAACATTCTCCCAGAGTTCATGCTTAGATATATCACGTTAACATGCATTATGGTTAGGGTTCAGTCCCGGAGTAGCTTGTTGTAATGGGATTTTCTTGGAGACGCATACCTATTTTTTTTTTTTTTTTTGTTGAGGTGATTTTCTGTTTGCCTCGTCTCATGTGCACACTCCAACCAGGTAAGACTTGGTACATCATAACCCTGCTCAGCTTGACTGAGTGTGTTTTCTGTCACCTCAGTATTTATCGTGAGGGGCGAAGGTCGTGACAGCCCAAACTGATCCCAGCCCTCAGTGTGAAACCTCAGACGACTGCACACAGACGCTATGGAGTGAGTGATGAATGTTCGACCCCCTGTCAGCCCGGGCGGGGGTACTGTTGATCACACTAATGTTTTCATGTTTGCTGTCTCAGGGATCACTTTCCATCTCCAATTGACACGGTTCTGGGCTTTATATGGTTCTCTCATCCTTCCTTGCGTCTACTAGAATAATAACACACCCTCTTTATTAGATCATGAGTGAGCTGGACTACAGAGACAATCCAGTAAATATAAAGTAGTTTATTATCGGTGATTTACAAATCTGAGAGCTTTTAGTTCTGCGGTAAGAGTAGTACATAGCTTCTTTTTTTTTCTCCCCTTTTTTATGGAGCATGACATCAGATTACATTTGTTTATCTTAAATGCTGTCCTCTACTGGTGTTAATGGTGAATTACAGTTTAGTCATTTAAATGTTCTCCTGCTGAGTGAAATGGATAGTAGTTTTACGCTGCCTTCACCAGCATTTTCAACTGACTAATACCCAGAAACAAACACATTGGCCACCCCTTTTTCAATACTGTATTAAAGCGCCAACAATTAACACTGACTAACCCTCAAACTGATCAAACTCAAAACAGTACTATTGGTACAAATGATACCATACAAGTACAGCATCTCACTTTAAAATACCTTGAATATTAAGTCCAGTAGCATTCCTTAACTCTTAAATCAGCCGAATGTTCAACCTTCTCTACAGCCTTAAAGGGATTTCTTTTTTTAATACTTTATCTTGTATTTTGAAGCATAATGTTGTTTTGTATACAAATACTTCAGTGAAGTTCCTTGATAAAAGCAGCTACACGCTTCAAACTGTGGAAATATGCTGCTAATTTTTGTTATGGACTAAAATTCAGTCTGTCATTCTGGAGATAATATGATTACTAAAAACTTGAGTTGGCGTATGCTTTACTTAGCTCAGGCCTCCAATTGTATGCTTAATTGTGTTGGTTTGTCCCAGAATGTGGTGCATAATAAGAAAATGATCGATATTTATACTGAGAAACTTAAAAATGTGTTAATTAGATGGGGGGGGGGGAATATGCAGCAAGACTTTATACAAGGAACATTTCAGACCAAATTTAGGACAGGTTTTGGATTCTCCTGTTGAAACAAAAAGGGTTAATAGCCTCA